CTTCTCCAGTCTCTCACGAGTGTATCCAGACCACTCTGTGTCCCCTTCAGTCAGGGATCTACTATCTGTGACTGCCACTCTGTACTCAGAAGTCAGGCTTTAGCACAACCGGACAAGGGCAGAATCCCTCTTGGGGGTGGGGCTATTGTGCCTTTTCATGCTGTTGCTGAGCAGGGGAGTGGTCTGCCTGAGCAAGATGGCTGCTGCTGCATGGGGCATGAGTCAGCACTAGGACCCCGCTGGCTACTCTCTCAGTTTTATCCCCAGAGCCACCTTCCTCAGTCTCTCTTCCAGCATCTCTAGCCCACGCTGTCCCCACCTTTACTGGAGACCAGGGTAAGTTGCAGTTAGGTTGTGCTAAAGCTGATTCTTCTGTCTTTCTGAGTTTATAAGGCTGTTCTTGTGCTACTGTTCAGTTGTTTGTTCCAGGTGATTTCTCTGCAATTTAGTTGTAATTCCAGATTGGTACTGGGAAGAGGTCAGTGTCACTTCCATTCACTCCTCCACCATCTTGATTTTTCCTAAAATTTTCCTCTTTTAAATTAAAAGCTATAGCCGTTTGATTTTTCCCTTACAAAACCAAAAAGAGCATCTTTCATAGCTCTTTAAATTTTACATGTTATATTTTTTAAAAGCTGAGGGATGTGATTTTCCTCTGTTACATGAAAAATTTTGAAAATTTACTTCTGCTGTCTTCTATACTATTATGGAATTTTAAATCTAAGATTTTTCACATTTATGCTGCTTCTTTAGTATAGACCCCAAGACCAAATCCAATAATTGATAAATTAAAAAAATAAGTTAAATATTAAAAATAAACCCTGATAAATATCTAAATTCCATATTCCAAGATTTAAATATTTTTAATTCTTTGCTGACTTTCCCTTCGACAGTTCATTTAGTGCCTCTCACATTCTGCTGACTGTAAAGGAACCTAGATCTAAAAATTCATTGCTTGGATAGTGTTAGAGATGAGCTAATCCAGTGGCTTCACCCTCTCAATTCTATCGCAAGAGAGGAAGTAACATGTCTTGGATCAACCAGGATAAAAAGTTGTGATTCCTGACCCCTGGGACAAAGACTTCACTGCAAAGCCATCTCTCATGTGACACGAATTTAAGTTTTAATCTGATTAAAAAAATATTTTCAAGAGTTGCTCATGCTGAAGGACTTGTGGTTTTATTTTTAAAATGAATATCAATTTTAATTGTTTTTATTTCAATTTTTTAATTAAATATTTTATATTTTAGAACCATGTTAGGTTTTCAGAATTTATTGCATAAATAATATAGAGAGTTCCTATATACCTCTCCCTCAGTTTCTACTATTATTATTATCTTATATTAATATGGTATATGTGTCACAATTAATAAGCAGATATTGATACATTATTAGTAACTAAACCCTTACTCTATTCAAGTTTTCTCACTTTTCCCTCATGTCCTTTTTCTGTCCTAAGTTCTGATTCAAGATATCATGTTATATTTCATAGTCGTGTCTCCTTAGACTCTTCTTGGTTGTGATCATTTCTCAGACTATCTTTGTGTTTAATAACCCCAACAGTTTTGAGGAGTACTGGTCATATATTTAGTTGGTCATCCCATAATTGAAATTTGTGTGATATTTTTCTTGTGGTTCAACTGAGATGAGTTTTTAGGAGGAAAACCACAGAGGAAAAATTTTATTTTCATACCATCCTATCAAAGGAACATACTATCAATAGGAATTATTGCTGTTGATATTGACTTTAATTACCTAGCTTTAAGTAGTATATGTCATGGTTTTCCACTGTAAAGTTAGTTAATCTATTTTGCTTTTCCTTTCCATATTGTACTCTTTGGAATAAAGTCACTATATATAGGCCACATTTAAGAAGAGGGAAATTATTATATACTTCCTTAAGAACAGAGAGTCTACATAAATATTTGCACTCCTTCTGCATGGCATATTGGTTTATTTATTGAATATTTATTCAATCATTTTTATCAGAATGGATTCATAAATATTTATTTTATACTCTGGATAATAACCCAATACTACCTTATTTAATTTTCTTGCTCAAATCTTGCTAGATTTGGCCACTGAGAGATTTTTTTCAGTTGACTCCTTTATCCCTTTGATATATTCATTGTTGTGTGTGTGTGTGTGAGTGTGTGTGAGTGTGTGTGTGTGTGTGTGTGTGTGTGTGTGTTTTTCTTTCTGGCACTACCACATGCTCTAGGCATCTTGTATATTTCCTGCCTCAGTCCAAAAATCAGTTAAGAGTATGATTCCTTTATTGAAAAATGATATTACAAATTAAGACCTGAGTGGTACTTGTGTTCATTACTATTGGGGTGTCATTATGTTTAAGTCCTCTCAGCTGCCAGAGTAGGGAGATATATGTATGATTACTTACTCATGTATATATAAGTATCTATTAGTATTTCTATATGCATCCATTTGTATATATAGTAAGCTAAATGTGAGTTTTTACGCTGATGTCTCTAACTTTAATATGTGATACCTGGATCATTCTAGTCTTGCTTATCTAGAAACTCCAACTGTCTATATATCTATCTTTATATTTATATATCATATATCTATCTATGTATCATCATCTACCTATGTATATAGTTTTTAGAATTGTTAACCTGCATGCCCATAGGAAACAAGTTTATCAACCGTAACACAGTTCTTACATAGAGTTCCTTTCACTTTTGGTCTTATAGACTCCACTCACCTCAGTTACTCAGGTCAGGTCAACACCTTATTCCCCCCCCTTCAATGAGGTTGTTTCATACATTTGTAATTCATTTAGATTATTTTTCAATATTCTGCCTCTCATCCTGGGATCCCGTAACCTCCTAATTTATTCTATTCTATTTGTATGCATTAACATTTACTTTGTGGTGTGAAGTTCTATGGGTTTTGACAAATGCTTAATGTCTTGTATTTATAATTATAATAACATACAGAATAGTTTCACCTCCCTAAAAGATCTTCCATGCTTTACCTACTCAACTCCCTTAACCCTCCAAAACTCCTGGAAAATTGTGCAATTTTGAAATTCTAGATTGGAACTAAGCATCTCCAGAAGTAACCATTCACAATCAAGGCATGGCAGATAGGGTGTGCCTCTCATAAAGGAATTGATTGATTGGTTGATTGATTTTAGAGAAAGAGGAAGGGAGAGAGGAAAGGAGTTAGAGAGAAATATTGATTTGTTTTTCCACCTATTTATGCATTCATTGGTTGATTCCTGTATGTGCTCTGACTGAATATTAAACCCACAACCTTGGTGCATTGGGACAGCACTCCAACCAACTAAGCTACTTGGCCAGGGCCATACAGGAATTATTTTGTACAAAGTGAACATATAATATTTGCTGATGTCATGTTTCATAGAGATCAAGGGTTTCGAGCCTTTATTTTTTAAATTTATTTTCCAGTTACCGTTGACATACAATATCATATTAGTTTCAGGTATACAACATAGTGATTAGACAATTATATAACTTATGAAGTGATGACCCTGATATGTCTAATACCCATTTGACTGTGAGCCTTTATTTTTGTCTTACAGGTATTTGTCTAAGCAAAATAAAGCAAACTATCTCAAATTGGAGGGAAAGATCATTAAAAAGGAGGGAAGATAGTGAATGATTTTGAGAGAACAAAAGAGTGAATTGATGAGTCACATTGATTTTGTGTTTTTAATTTTCAAAATATATTTGAAAATATTTTCTTGAATCATAACTCAATAAATTTTAAATTGTTTTCTTCTAAAGAAGATCCACCCTTCCTTTCTCCCTTCATCCTCTCCTTTTTTTTCTTATTTCTCCTATATAAATGTTTACAGAATGAATACCTATTTTTTCTGTGAGGTACTATATAATAGACACTGGAAATGCACAGGTGGGAAAAAGGCATTCATGGCCTCAAGGATACTTTCCACATTATTTTTGAAGCAGAAAGATATGAAAGGACAATTATTATATAATAATTGTTCCATTGCTGCAATAGGCACATACAGAAGTAGAGGATAACTCTGTCTTGCAAGATCAGGGAAGTCAGTAGAGATGACAACTGAGCCTGAGGGTTTCACTTTTGAGGCAGAGAAATAAATTTGGTGCATTCTAGGCAAGAAGTATAACATGTGGAAACATCTTGTCAGATCATACAGAATGGCAAAATTAAAGAGTCACCAGTTAATTATAACTGGAGTGGAAGTGGCAGTAGAAGAGGATGGAGATGGAATTGGTGGCAGATCAAGCTGGACAAGTATGGATCATGATGGACCTTGAGTTTGGATCTTTTCTTGGGAATAATGAAGAGGCTACTCAAGGATAATGAACAAGGGGGAGGCATTTTAGAAAACTCATTTTAGAAGAAGGGGAATTGGTGGGAAGAAATAGGGAGCATGTAAAATTTGATCCTAGAAAAATTCATAGGTGGCTGTTAACTACAGTCAGGATGGGAGATGATGAGGGTCTGCTTAGGTCAGTGGCAGAAGTCATGGAGCAGCAAAGAAGTATATGAGAAGTATAAAAATAAGGATGTGAGAGGAGGGAGGAGATAGTGAAGCAGTACTGAAGGGTGAAGTTAAGAATGTTCTGTAAATCCTACTAAATTTTATTCTTATTAAAGGAAATTTGAAGTCTTGATGACTAAGAAGCACTATTTGTGCAATATTATAACAAATATTTCATTATTACATTGCCAAAAACAAGTTCCAAGATTTTCCTAAAAAATTCAGCAAGGAACATGGTCAAGGTATCTCTTCTTATTAAGACATTAAATCTCATTAAAAGGTAAATACAAAAAAAAAGATTTTAGAATTTGTGGCATGTCTATGACATGAAAATGAGTTTAAACTTAGAACTTTTTCTGTTGTCCGGAAATTTTCATTATGGTTTGTTGAAGATGTACTTCATAGAAACTGAAGTGTTCATCCATATTGGTATTCACATATTGGTTTATTCTAGAGTATAATTTGAAATGAATTTTTTCTTTGGCAGGATGAATCTTTAAAGCAGTTGCAGGTGGTTCACCAACCATGGATCTTGCCAAGTGACACAGAAAGTGAAGGAATAGAAGCAGAACAAGAGAAACGTGAGTAGACTCTACTATTTATTAACAAATTGCTATTAGCCAAAGGAAATCTACAATGAAGATATATCTGTTTAGTAATGTCAAATGATGTCTGCAAAGAAATTCAGACTTGACTAGGGAAAACATGCAAAGCTAAGCTATACTTCAGGTATATAGATCTTGATTTAATGATGTCACAATTGTGTTGCAGAGGACCATAAACTAACTTTCTGAAAAAAAGTACCATACCTTAAAAGAAGGAATTAGTCTTCCTGAAGACTAACACAAAATGTCCATTTGGGATGTGAATCTTCTTTAAATAAATAATTGGAATTAGGTCAGTGATAACTTGTGATTTTTTAAAAAATCTAAAGTATGTCAAGATCAGTTCATTATTAATATGGAATTAGCATTATTAGTTAAATGGATAAATGTATAGCGTTGACCCTTGAACAAAGAAGGGGTTGTGTATAACTTTTGACTCCTCCAAAACTTAACTACTAACAACCTAGTGTTGACTGCAGTTCTTACTGAGAGCATAAACAGCTGATTAACACGTATTGTGCATGTTATATGTATTAAAGATTTTATTTTTATAATAAAGTAAGCTATAGAAGATATTATTAAGAAAATCATAAGGAAGAGAGAATACATTTACAGTATTTATTGAAAAAAAATGGTATAAGTGGACCCATGCAGTTCAAACCTATGTTGTTCAAGGGTTGACTATTTATAGAAACTATTCTAAGTTCGCAAAACAAATTAGTATTACAGTATTTAAGACAGAATATATAGCCCTTGACTTAAATGGCTGTATTATAATCATAACAAAGGATGGACTACTATGATTTATCATGACCTGGTGTATGCTCTTCAGGGCTTTGTTGATATTGTTAGACATGTGGGTTCAGTACTCTAGATGAGAGGTTAATGTCTGAATTATATAGAGAAAACAATAATTTTAAAAATAATAACCACCAAATTTACTTTTTTATCAATTGTAGCTGGCACAGAAAAGTAAAGACTGTAAGTGATAATGTAGCCTTTGTGATCATTAGTGTGAAGTGATTAATTAATAATTCTCCTGATAGCTAGTGTGTTACACAAGTAGCATTATGGTTCTACACCCAGAAGGTTCCAGGAAATTCTTCTTCCAAGTTAAAGTCATTTAGAAAGCTCATGTGGTCAGAGAGGGCACAGCCAGGAGAGGGACCTAGGAGTCAGAGTGCTCAGGTAAGAGGAGGCAGCATAGAGTTCAAATGTCCTTCAGATGGCATATTCAGAAATATAGTGAATAATACAGTGACATTTTACAGATTTCATTGGAGGGAATCAACACCTTCCATAGAAAATAACTGTGAAGAATCAGAAAGCAAATTGTGCTTTAAAGTGCTTTAAGCAATTACAAAAATAAGGTTTTTTTTGAAGACCTTTAAAGCAAAGAATCCTAAGCAAGATGGTCAAGGAAAAGAGAATCCCCCAAATATGTTAGAATTAATAGTAGCCCATAGCTTTTATGAAAACAACTGACAGCACACTTAATAGCCCCAACTCCCATCCCTCTCCACACATTTAAATATACATAAGCTCTCATTCTGGAGTTAAATTTAATAATTTTTACCAAATTTCTTTGAGATCTTTATAAATTTTATATTTAAAAAAAACACTCCAAACTCATTTTGTGTGTGTGTGTTGTATAAAGACAATACATGAGTGGGTTTTACTCTTGACTGTTCTATTTAACACACAGGTGCCCAAAGTGAGCAACACTTAACAGGTAAACAATATCCTTACAAGATGCACAGTGTGTTATTCTATGAATGTGCTATAACTTATAATATACTAAAACTTAAAAGCAAGAAGAGAATTAATCACACTAGTATATTTAATCCAAGTTCAAATTTAAACTTTTTTCCCTCAAATCCATATGTCTCCAATCAGCATTGAAGTCTGGAAAATAGCTTAATAATACAACAGAGATAAAAATCCCCAGAACTTGCTTTAACCCTTGTCATCTAACCATACTACCTTTCTGCATATACTTTCACGAGATTTTAATAATAATTTGTAATCATGTCCTGTTCCACTAGGGTGCAAATTCTTTGAGAGGAATGTTTTCTTTATCTTATTGAGGTACATAATAATACCTCAATAAATATAAAAAGAATGAATGAATGATGAAGTACTTATAGCTCTTTGGAACTCTATAACTTGTTTATTAGCACAGTTGGAAATTTAAAACAAAATAAATAATAATTATGACTGAATAATTATAAAAATTATTTACAGTTTTATTAAAATTTTAATAAAATTTTACAGTTTGGCCTAGGATTTTGCCATATGGTCTATGACTCAAAGAAGGCCATTCTTGAACTCTCCTAAACATAGACCTAGAACCAAAGCCTTTTTATTTCAGCAATTTTCACTTGGAGGTGACCCTTTACAATGTGAAATCATTTGAAATAATATCCAGGTTTAAACATAATTAGGTAGTAATAGGAGCCATCTGAAAATGGAATGCAACCCAGCATTGTACCTAAGCTCATAGCACTGACATGCAAATACTTTTCAAGAGTGGCATCCAGGCGGGGAGGCAGAGACAAATGTATTTAAAAATAAATAAAGAAAGGAAAAAAAAGAAAAAGAAATTAAAAAAAAGTGGCATCCAATATTAAGGGCCTGGGATAGTATAGGGCAGTGCCATAGAAGTAATGGCATCTGCATTGATACTTGTATTCAATGCATGTAGTTTGTGGAACAGCTGGCCAAATATATATAGATCATTTATTTCTTCATTTTTTCAGTGATGAGGAATAAATGACAAATCTATGTGAACCCAGCATCTGATTTAGAGTCTAGAGGCTCATTTATTAGAAATTTATGGTGAGGAAAAGGACAAGATTCACCATTCCACCATTAACACCATTTTCTTAATTCAGCTTCCTATAAATTATACCTAGATAATTTTGTGGAATTTTCTAATTTCTCAAGGCAAGATTATCATGGCAGAAAGTTTCCAAATAATTTCAGGCAGAAAGTTTCCAAATAATTGCAGGATCTTTGTAGTGATGCATATTTTTTATTGCATCATTTTAAAATAAGACATAGATCAAATAAGTTTTATTAAAGAGCACCTTTTAAGGAAGGTTGTCTTAAATAATTAAATAGGAAGCTTTGAACATCTTTATTATAAACAAGATAAGTAAAATCCTTAATTGAGAATACTTTACTTTTAACACTAAAGTATAAACCACAAGTTTAAAAAATTCTGTAGGGTATGGTTGTTTTAATCTCTCAAATTATGGTCCAAAGTCACTGTGAAACGCAAATCACAGATACGTGGATCTACTGAGGTACTTATTTAATACTCATAATTTTAGACTCTACTCTAGACTTACTGAATCAGAATCTTTGGGCATGGGGCTCTGAATACTGCATTTCTATTGAACTCCTCATGTCATCTTTGCTTATTCTAGAGACTGAGAATTACTGGAATAAAAATTCAATGAATCTCTAAGTTAAGTTTGGATAGTGTTTTCTAGTTTGTCCATTGTAAAGTTACTTTTAACCCACCTTTCTATACATTTCTCTGGAAGCAAGTCATTAATTCTAGCTTATGTTCAATGAATATGTTATTCCAATGACTTCTGGCCTTTATAGTTTCTGAAAATAATTCAGCATCTAATATTGCTGAGGAACCTCTGTGATGTTGTTTCTTTTTTTTTATTTTCTCCCTGCTTTTAAGACTTTTTCTTGGTCTGTGTCTTGTAGTAAAGTGATATGTAGGTGTGGATATCTTTGTTTATATTATTGAAGTTTCTTGAGCTTCTTGGACATGTAGATTAATGTTTTCATCAAATGTGTGAAGTTTTCAGTCATTATTTCTTTAAATATTCTTTCTGCCCCTTTGTATCTTACCTCTCCTTTTGGGACTGTGTCTTTATATGTTTTGGTACACTTGATAGCATCTCCAAAGTTCTCTGAGGAACTGCTTATTATTATACATTTTTTTTAAAGAGATTCCTCAGAAGTTCCTACCACTGGATTTCAGCTGACTTAAAGTTCTTTGATTCTTTCTTACACTGGCTCAAATCAGATTTTGAGATCCTCTAGTAAATTTTGCATTTTAATTACAGAATTTCTATTTTTCCCCTTAATATTTTGTATGTTTTATTGATAGTCTCATTTGGTAGGAGTTCATTCCTATGCTTTTAAAAATTTTATTTGATATGATTTCTTTTAGTTCTTTGACTATATTTATAGTAGATGATTAAAAGTCTTTGTATATTAGTAAGTCTGTCATCTAAACTTCCTCAGGGAGAGTGTCAATTGGATGCTTTTTCTTTCCTTTTTATGGGTCATACTTTATGTTCTTCAGCATGTATGATATTATGATTTATAAAGCTTGTCACTTTTCTGTTTGTTTAAATCTGAACATTTAATATAATATAATTTGAGAGCTCTGGAAATTAGACCATCCCACCTCCCCTGGCTCAGTTTATTTCTGAGGCTGTTTGTTCTTGTTATTTTTGTTGCTACTTTTTATTTAGTGACTTTCCTGAAGCAGTCTGTAAAGTCTATATTTTTTATTATATGCAGTCACTGAAGTCTCTGCTTAGTAGCTTGGTAGTTAGCTAAAGACTGGGCAAGGTTTTGAACACTCCATGAACACTCCGGCAGTTTACAACGATGTTACACAGAGCCATTGGGTCAACCAGACCTGAGAGATATAGGCTTATCAGGTCCTTCCTGATTAGATGCATAACACTGCATCTATGTGGCCTTCTAGGTCTCCAGAAATATATCAGAGCTTTTGAAATCCTTTTATGAACATCTCATTTACCAGAATTTCTTTTTAAATTTTTTTTTTTTTTTTGGTAAACTTGTTTGCTTCAGCTGGTATAACTGCCTCACGTAACTGCTATGTAAAACTATTGACACTGATTAGTATTTTTTAAAGATTTTAAATTTATTTTTAGAGAAATAGAGGGAGAGAAACATCAATGTGCGGTTGCCTCTCA